ACCCGCGCGTTTCTGAAAACAGAAATAAAAAACTGCAGTAAGCGGCCTTGAATTTGTTTAACTAAGTGAACCCCAATGCTTTCTAAGAGTATGTTGTATCGTTTTCCCAGATCTCTCTTCAATCTTAGTTCTGTTCATCAAGTCGATTACTTTCACGCTCCTGAAGTCACAATAGGTTTACACCGCAATTTAAACACGCATGCCATAACTAGTGATTGCATTGTCGCAACAGTAAATTTTCTAGTTGTGGTATTGTAAATATTAGTCTCAACTTCAAAATAATAACAACAAGGCTAGCAATGACATGCTTTCCCTTTAAATGAAGGAAATGTTTAGTTTTCCTCGATCTGATTCTATCAGCTAAAGGCTCCTGCAAAGAACTAACCATCCAGCCCTCCCTTATACTCCTAATGGCCATTTTTAAGGATGATTCCAATAACTTTAATACTATCAGACCATCTTCAGTTCCGGACACCAAGGGAAAGTAAAGCCCTGATAGTACCTAAGAATGCGTCAATTTCTACAGCATCCAGAGACTGATCACACCCTTAAGCTCAAGAGTGCTGAAGTCAATAATTGGCAAAATTCACTCGAATTTTAAGCTCCAATGAGAGTATTTTTGTTACACTTATTTCACATGGAAGACCAACCCCATAATAGGCTTTTCCACTAAGGGTATTGAGGAACGTTGTTTTGCCGGATCCTGAGGGACCCATTACTGCAGTTACTTCCCCAGGTAGGAGTTGTCCGGACACGCCTTGAAGAATGGCTACTTTTGTCTGTTAAAATGAAGAAAACAACACACAACGCATAAGTACATAAAAATCCTATTACCTACAATGTTTGTGGTGTCAAATATTTTTAGGAGTAAGCTCTGACTCATTCTTTAGTATTCTCCTTTTACTAAAGATTACGCTCCAATTGAAATATGTTCCAAGCATAAATTCTTCCTTTACTCTCCAACGCATGCAGAAAATCTTACTTTAACGTAGAGTCCTTCGAAATATATCCCATAAATTGCATGGTTTTTATTTTTCGTGGCGCACTTTCGCGCCGAATTTTTTTTAAGTGTTAACAAGTTCCCCTGCAGTACTTTGGCGCCAAAACTAAACAAAATAAATTAATAAGTACAGTCGAACCTCGATTATCCGGACTCGGTGGGACTAGGGTAAATAGTCCGGATAATCGAGAGTCCGGATAATCGAAAATATGAATATTAATGAGACAATGTAAACAAAAGAAATAAAGATAACACATTTTTAATTCTAAAAGTTTGCTTCAGCAGATCGCTTTCGCTTCGTAGACATGTTGTCGTTTTGAGTTATGATCGTGTCGTGTGTTTACATAACCCACGCTCAGCTTAGCAACAAAACAATACTGAACAAATCAAAATTCAGCTGAACGCATTAGAATACTTCTTGTCTCTTTTTGTCTCCGAGCGCTCGATCTTTCGAAAGCGGAGCGTGTAATGCGCTGTTTTAAACGCAATTTTCCTGACTTTTAACATAATTTCTGAATTTTTTTACCTCCTAAAGTTTTTAACATCTAAGGTCATTAATATTCATGAAAAAAACGGGATCAGAGAAAAATTCCGGATAATCGAAAAGTGCGGTTAATCGATGTCCGGATAATCGAGGTTCGACTGTAATACGAATAACAAGATAATGATGATATCATTTTTATATTATTATTATTTTCATTATCAATGCTATCATTACCATTATCATATCTATTATAATAGCAGTAGCAGTAGCAGTAGCACTAACCACAGTAGCATTTTTGCTGCCGATAGTACTTGACTTAATAGCGTTCCGGACTCGGAAGTGAGAAAAATAACCTTTGGCGAACATTCGTACATGAGATTGACCGTTACTTGGAGATTGATAACAAAATACCTCCTTCCCTCCCCTCTCCCATCTCACAACCAGGTAATTACCTTTTTAAGAGAGAGGCTAAGGTTTTGAAAACGAATGGTGATGGTTTGTGTCTTGGGCTCCGCCTCCTCTCGGTATTTATCCAAAGTGTTCCTCCGGATATCCTCTTCCATTCTTGACCGTCGCTTTGCGAAGAGTCTCTTTGTTACATAACGTTCACACCATTCTATAAGTTTTTCTTCGTAGTTGAAACAAAGCAAAAGCAACAGCATCACCAGCAATATTGCAAAGATGAGTAAAACACCACCAGGAGCGCTGACAGGAGCTGAAGACCCTTTCTTGCATATGGAGAGAATCTGAAAATAGACCAAAATAAGACTGCGCTCAACAAGGAGTTGTGCAGGCAACAACAGGGAAGGCATCTTCCACATGTTTCTGCCATAAAATGCAAATGAACGATATAAGATGTATTGATATTCCCTAAGGTAATTTTTGCTTCACGCAGATGCAAAAACAACTGGGATAAGTATTGCAGCTTCGACGTGGACAGCAAAATTTGACACTCACCGCCCCGAACCAATCTTACCAAAGACAGCTTCACTTAGAAAGGTGTTTGGCGCCGTGAAATAGTCTACCTGTAAAGCCACAGAAGGCACAAATTTGTTCCTCCTTAAATCTAGTTGCAACGATTCCTTCCTCGTTAACGAACTAAATTCATATAATGCATAACATTCATGAAAAGGATGCATCTTAAGAGCATTACCCAGTTTGCCTTGCAGTCTTAGCATTTGCTATCGATATTCATATTAGAAGTACGGAGTAACAATTAGCCGAACTAATTCTGAGATTGTAGTATATCCATAAAAATATACAATGTCCATAGTTTTGGACTTGGATTTCACATGGACAAATAGCCTTAAAAAATCCCGTTCATCTCGCATTTGTCTTTAACGGCTGTTACCACTTAGGAGATACCTACGGATGTACACTATCTAATAATACTGTGATTTTTACCGACTACATGTAACAAGATTAGTTACTCTTACCGGACAGTCTTGAGGTTCCACGCTTCCATTCCGACAGAAATATCCACTTGGACACGTCTTTTGAATGGTGACGTTTGGGCAATAGTTGCCTGGAGGACAGGGAACTGGAAGCTGGGCTCCAGGGCAAATATACTTAGAAGAATCAAAGATAGGGATGGACTGAGAAGGGCTGCAGCATTTTCCACTCTCGCGGCACAGTTGGGGTGATTTTTTCTAGAAAATAAGATGACTTTTTCCATCATGAACCGAACACACTACGGGCTCAGAACAGAGCATTTAGTAGCGTAAATCTACAATTAAAAAAACCTCAAGTGACACTGGTTTCATAAACGTTGGCAAAAGTGTGTTATCAGACTCAAACCTCATTATAGCATTGTAGTTCTTGCATGAATACTTTATGAAATATCACTTTGGCAACCCCCTCCCCCCCCTTCCAGTTAAATCCAGCCACCACCCACGAGTGAGAAGAAGTCGAAATTGTTTTGGCCTTTATCTGGAAACTGATTTTAGCTCAAGACAATTCGCCGCGGTACCCATTCACATCTCTGGGTTGTAAGGACACCATAAAATTAAACTGTTTTGTCCCAAAGACCCAGCCAGTTTCAAACTTCTCGACCCAGAGTCCAACACACTAACTTTTAGTCCACCGCTTCTCCCACTCTGTGTTGAATAAGATCATGTAAAACTTACCGTGGCGTTAACTATTTTATCCTTGACACAGTATGCTCCCTTTGGACATGGTATGATACAGAGTTGGTCCTGGGGACAATAGAAGCCTGAAAACATTCATAAAGTCAATATTTCATCAACTTTACGGTAGATTCTTACTTCAAGCCGACAGATGACTTTTCGCCTTAATTGTGTTTTTTCTGAAAGTTGAATTCATCCCTTTTATGAGATCATGAGAACAATTTGGTTTTCATCATTGTGCTGCCTCTTCTATATCTAATTCATCAACCCAAGAGGAGGAGGGGTGGGGGTGGGGAGCGACGAAGTCTGAGACCGAGAAAAGGCATGACTTGCAAAGCGGTCAATTCACAGGCTTGTCCGTAGTCTCGCTCAAATCCTTAACGTGCGAAATTAGTCGTGAATAACTCCTACCTTTGTTTTTCTACATCGGTCTGAAACTTCAATCGTAGTAAAACTGTTTAGAGTCGACTCCTTTATTGCAGCCACCCTCCCCCTTCCCACTGTACCAACCATTCCATGACCGCACTTAGGATATTGATAGTAAATAGATCTTCTCCACAAACCGCGAAAAAAAAACACTATTTTAATGAATTTCCCGCGTTTGGACATTGCTATGAAGCTGCTGACTATATTTCATTATAACAAACAACCGTAAGTTGTTGCGACTTCACACTTCCGGGATGGCAAAATGATCAAATGTCATCAGGAAACTACAAACTTACCATCAGGACAGGGTTCGAGTCTCTTCAAACTTTTGTTGAAGAAAAATCCTGCCTCACAGGCTGACGAATTTTGAGGTTTCATACAAAACGGTTTTCCCCCGCTTCTCTGCGTTGGACTTGATGTCATCATACTAGGAGTAGGTGTCGCTGCTAAGGCGTTACACGGTTTTGCAAACGGACAACAGACATCCACGTACTTTGCGGGACAGCAAGATGCGGGTAAATCGTCAAAAACATCTGCACACAAAGATTAAACAAACAATTTTGCCTGAATATTACTTTTGACTTGCAGTTGATAAAAATTTGTATGTCTAAAGTGAAGCCCAACTTTTCGTTCTTCTTTGCACCGTGTTAACCTCCTACATTTAACCATAAAATTTTCTTCTTCACTTAATACTCCTCTACGTTTTTATTCCGTTGAAACGGGAAAACACTTTGGGCAATATAAGAAGCCACGAGCGCTTGTTAATGCTCGTCTAATCTGCACTGACAGAATTTGTGAGTAAAGAGATGTTGCGTGACAAACAAAAAACGGCAGCTGTACCCTCATCCTCTTAATGTCATTCGCGTCACTCTAGCTCTTCCAGCGGCCTATTTTCGCACACGGTTAAAAGGTTGGAAAAAGACACGATGAAACACTAAGAAGCCTTTACACAGACGAGAGAGTCCAACAGAGACGCCGCAGCTTCCTTTCCTAACCGAAATAAATTGACAGATTATTTTAATTTGCATATCTCGTGGTTATTTATGAGACTGGTTTTTCGGTTCTTGTGCTAAATAACTTGAAACACTCTTTTTATTTCGATGTTTATTTCGGTTTGCGGATTTTCCGTTTTGCAGCAGTTGGTTTTCGGTTTTCGTAAAAAAATACAGATATGTTTTCGGATTTGAATCCGATATGGTTTTCTGTTTTTCCTATTTGGGTTTCGGTTTATCTTCGATATGAGCGGCAATTATGCGCCTCCACTGATCTCGAATAGCTGCGAAACCTCTGCATGCTCCGCTTGTCACAACTGTATCAGATCGATTTGGGTTTTGATAACTGGGATGTGAATATATACCGGTTTTCACGGTTTTGCAAGCGGTTTTCGGTTTGGATCGAATTTTTGTGTACGCGGTTTGCGGTTTGGATCGAATTTTTTGCACGCAACAGCCAGCAGTTCTTTACGACTATTGAACCGGATTGAATTGACAAAGAATTGACGTCGCTTCTCTTCTGCTTGCTGGTCCGCAAAATTTTTTTAATTCCTACAATTTGTTTTGTCGGCGCTCTTTACCCTTCTTGGTCCATGCAAACTGCGATGTTTTAGACGTGTAAAGCCCAGTCATAGTCATATGCATATCTTCTGGTTTGAAGTGAGCCGAGCTCACTAGAGTAGAGCCTTTCTTTATCTGGCAAATTCTTTTAAAACCGCAAATTATAACGCGAATAAACGAGGGAGAATCTCATTATTACTGTTAAAATAATAATAGATTCATTACCTTAATCTAGTGTTATGGATATGGAATGAATAAATATTTCATAGATAAAAACTGCTGGCTTACTCTTCAATCGAACGGGAAGGTCGATTGCTAATAACACGTGCATCCAACAACTCACTGGTCACGACTCCTCTCTTACCTCGAAATCTGGCTCTTCATCTCGCCTTTTCGGGGCAATCCATTTCGATCTCAATAAATCATTCGAAGGAAAGTTGAAGAAAGATAAATTCTCACCACTTTTATTTCGTTTGTCGTTACTACAGAAATTAACAACGCAACCCAATACCTAATGCCCGTCCAGCCTTGATTTGGTGCGTCACGCAATCTAAGATGGCGCTTCGTGTCGAAGGTGTATAGTCGTTTCTACGCTCGCGTATCCAAGACTAAAAATGAAGCCATCCTTCTTACTGAGGGTAGGGGGAGGTGTTTAAGGACCCAAGAGAGCGACGAATAACAGAAATACTATGGCGGATAAATTAAAGAGGGTATTTAGCGATCCTGTTGACTTAAATTTTAATTTAAGCACACGCTCGAGCTAGTAATTGCGGTCTCATGCATAAACAGAGAATTTTCAATTAAAAGGTTAGGTACCTAACCATCGATAGCCTTCTTCGCGAGCTCGCCGGCCCCATTTCCCACTTCATCGCTCTCGAAAAGAAAATTAAGCTTAAGGCTATGTTTCATTCGGAAAATGAGAATTGTCTTAAAGGAAGGTATATCATTCACAGCAATTAGTTTCTCTCTGAAGTATGCTCAAGTTTCACGCGGTCGAGCGTTTGATCCATCCTCAAACTGAGCACGCTTTTTCAATGGTAAATGAAAACCTTATTTTGTTTGTATAATCGAAAAAATCCTGCATGATATATCTTCTCCCTTCTGATGTTAAAATACAGAGCAATGTGTCATGAATGGGGAAGCACACTTTAACCAGACATGTTGAATTGAATTAAAACTCAGATCGCTCTCGTTAGTTTTGCTACCTGTCCAGACATGCTTTCGTAAAAAACCCAGAGATTGCCCAATAATATGGTCACATTTCGTAAAAACTCAAGAGATGCAATAAAACTAGCAAGTAAATATGATCTAATACCTCCGCATTTCTCGCCATAAACCACTCGGGTGACGGAAAGTCCGAGAATGAAGCAAATTGTAGTTACCACACGGAAAGTCATGTCTTCTTCGTCCTTCGAGATTCAAATGCTTGTGGTTCGACAAATCGCGAACATTTGAATAGTTCTCTTCCACTTCTACCCTTCAGCCTGAAGCATACAAGGATAAATTTCGGTTTCGTAACAAACTGACACTAAGGTTCATCAGACCAAGCTTCTCCAGATATGAAATGCTAATGTCATTCCGAGCATAGTGACATGTCACTCACAAAGAAGAGAAACACATGGTAAGGGAAAATTAGGATTAGATTACGGATAGGACCACTGACGGGATCACGGACCAGATGTAAGAAATTCAAAGAATATAAGGATAAATAAGCAGAAGGAGGGCTGTGTGATTTTCAGTTTAGCGGTTTTTCGGCTATCTTATAGATCGGTATTTCGGTTTTTGTGCCAAAAAAGCTTCGGTTTTTCGGATTAGTGCTCATTGCGGTTTTCCGTTTTGAGTGGCTACTGCCTCCTCTAAGAGGCGAAGCCACATATGTGGTCGAAATGAGTGAGTGAGCGAGTGAGTGAATGACATTAGAATTCCGATGTTTACCCAATTTTGACCCGTTGTTTCCTACTGCTACTTATTGTTTGATCGGAGAATCTTAAAATAGTTTGACATTCGTACTCGATACACTGTTGAGTTCCCTCCTTTTGTGAACTCTGGTTAAAAGACACTGGCGTATTATGTTTTCAGTTCTTGCCGTGACACTACGAAAGACATTAAATGGCGCAGAAGTAGTTTTTAGCTATTAAAACAAAACTTTTCTTTGCAGAAATATCGTAATAGGTGTGATCAGTGCATCATGAAACAAAGAGAAAACTGTTCTTGGAGAGCTTGCGTATAAAATACGTGCTGAGAGTAACGTCACTGGTGCCCTGAATGATCCCCAAGGTCATGTTTCTGCAGAAACAATAAAATCTGTTCATTTAATGGAATGGGACCTAGGAAGACAAGAAGACATTCTAGGAAAGTATGACTCTCTCCTCTCTCACACATTCTTCCCTCTAAAAATAGCTTTGGAATTATGGCATAATTCGTATTGAAAAACAAACGAGTGATAAAACCTGAAAC